TATATATATATATATATATATGCATATACATTTCAGACTGTATTGGTCAATTCCCTCTTTCTGACGCCATGGGCAACCATAAATGAGATAACATAATTTCTTTATACTCACAGAAAAAAAAAGAAGAAAAAAGCCTGCAGCTCTTTGAATGAATAACTGTGTGATCCTTTATTAATTCTTCTGTGTAATCTGTTGCTAATGAAGTCACAGAAACAGCACCTAAGCTTTGAAGAACCCAGCAGCAAGGAACTGGGATCCTCATCTTCAAAATGTAACAAAATAGCGCCATTTGAGGCAGTAGAGCATGAACAACCAAGGATTCCTCCCATTCGTCGTGAGTATACATTCTCACATTTCATGATTAATTTTCCCTCCTTTTGGTATCTGCTTTTGGATCGTATCCTAATTCGCCTAAATCTGAATGAACAAAAAGGCAACATGTATAACTAGACCAGCTAACCTGATGAGGAACTTTTTAATATCAGTGACAAGTTTTAATTAAGGATGAAAAAGACTCAAACTACTCTCTCCATAGCAGCAGAAGCTAATTTAATACAAGCAGCAGCAGAGCAGAACGACCTTATCATTGAGGGCCACTAGTCATAAAAACAAGTTTTTCCAGTTTTTTCAGAGAGTCGGCGTCCATCTGAGTAACCAGTTTTTATGTGCCCAATTGGGGCATCTTGTTTTCTCCATCAATTTTAATGGCCCCCTCTAAGATGGTGACCTTACGTAACAAAAAATTGACCCATCCTTAATTCATTGCTGTCATGCCATGCCCTAAAACAAGAACAAGGACTTGTGTATTTTATATCACACACATATACACATTTGAACGCAATTATCCACGTGTAATTCATTTTACAGTCACAGATTCCTTTCACCATTATATAATAACAGCTCATCATGGTAATTATATTGATACTTGCAAGAAAAAGGTAGTAAGAGGTAGCAGTACTTAAGTTATGTAGTGGTCGATCTTCTCTCGCTGTGAGTGAACTGTACAAAGCAATGACGACAAAAACTGTTTCAGAAATTAGAAAGAAAATCCAATGGACTCTTGGATAAACAACGGAAATTTCAATGCTATTTGAATGCTAGAGCATATAATTGAATGGTCCTCCACAACCCAGTTCCACAGCTTCAGTCTGTCCAGGGAATTTGGCCTTTCGTGTGAAAAATTCCATATCTCAACCAGTTTTTCTGTTGGGGAATCTCTGATGTAAATTTTTTTGGGTTACAGATCTAGTGCAAATTGATGATTCATTCTACTTAATTTTTCTCTTACATCGTTATTCAATATTCCTAATTAATTCATCTCATGATTGTTCAACAGCTACAGAGAAGAGACATCGTGTGCCTTCTGCTTATAATCGATTCATTAAGTAAGTAGTTTTCGCCCTTTGTTATTTTAAAATCAACCTCCTTGCTTCTCCCTAATTACTGTGATATATTATGTAGGATTTGATTAAGGACTGAAATTATCATCATCACCATTATTAGAGATAATTATACGCATTTCGTTAAAGTTATAATGTCAATTATATTTATACTTTCCTGACTTTTACTTTTTTTTTCAGATTATATAAAAATAAAAGTGATGACATGCATAATAATTTAAATTTTTTAAGAGTCAATAAAGTATTATATTGGATAATTTGTCATTGATTAATAACATTTATCATTACATTATTTATTCTAAAAAGTAGTATATATATAAAGATAATAGTAAAGGGTGTAATTACTAAAGAAAGAAACAAGCATTATTAATTTCAAGCGAAATGATTAAAATTTTATTTCGTATTCAAAGAATAAAGATGATCCAACAATCCAAGTAAATAAGTTTCTTAATTCTAAAGTACAGTAGAGATGATTCCATTGAGTAAAAACAAATAGCAAGTCTTTTCAAGTGTCTGATTTTGCAGGGAGGAAATCCAAAGGATTAAGGCTAGTAATCCAGATATCAGCCACAGGGAGGCTTTCAGCTCCGCAGCCAAAAACGTGAGTTTAACCTTAATTACTACATTAATCAGTATATATCATTCTCTGATCCATACAACTGCGTGCTGCACTTTTCTACATTTTTCATGTTTTTTGGAGCCACTTCTGTCAATTTACAGACACTCTTGTCTCTTCTATAAACTTCTTGCTCAAGGTCACAATCCAATATTATTCCTACGGTTATTTCAAACATCCTTCCAAAGTAATCATCTAGCTTGAGGGTATATGTGGGAAATCACATTTTTTAATTGGTTTACAACCCAGGAACATGGTATTTTATGTTATAGCCGTGTGTATATATATATATATATATATATATATTTATTGGTCATATACAACATGAGATGTTGATAGAAAAACAATACATACAACATGAGGTTATCCAATCTTGTAAAGACAAAGTTTACAAAAGCTGATGCATTAGAAAAGGGATGTGAATCAACATTTGTTGAGGAATATGTTTAAGCATTTGAGTGGGCAACTATGTTCATTATCATAAAACCGTATCAAATCTCCCTTTTAAAAAGCCTACAACCTGTCAAATTAGGTCAAGTTTGATAGGCCATAGCCACTTTCACTTTCACGTGATCACTTTGTTAACCCTAACACATGCTGTAACCAGTGTCACTTGTCTAATTCGTCTACATGTGATTCCATCACTCTCCTATGTACTACACTGTGCTGCTTTTGAACTCTCTTATTTTTCCTATGTACCATAGCATGTTTTTCACCGCATTTTATTTGGACGCCACACACAGTCCAAGTTGATTGAAAAACCAGACCTGATCGATCACCCTTCTTCAAAATGACCATACCTGTTCAAAATTATGCATGTTAATTTGTACAAGAAAAGCACAAGCATCACAGACATTAGAATTTCCAGAAAAAACTCTCACTTTATCCATCACAACTAATGCCATTGAAAGATATATATATATACAGAAAAAATAACTAATAAAATGGATCTGAAAGTGTTGTAAAGTGAGTTACTATAATAACATGGTCATGCTATAGCCATTTTAAAGACTAATAAGTGAAAATCTGTTCAAAGTTTTGAAGTTAACTTTGGAGTTTATTAGTTATATTATCTGCCAGTTCCTGCAAGAATCTTGACTATATATGGCATAAACAGCAGTTCATTGTTATATATAAATATATATGTTTGTGAGTCCATGAAATTTGTCTTTATGAAGAGTGCTTGATGTTTATATGTGTATGCAGTGGGCACATTTCCCTCACATTCACTTTGGGTTAAAGCTGGATGGTAACAGTCAAGGAAAGTTGGAGCAGGGAGAAGGAGGTGAAAAGACCAATGGATTCTACTGATATAAATGGAAGCCTGTGAGTATGAGCTTGTTTTTTTCATGCTTGACCTAAATCAGTGAAAATGAGGTTGATCAAATTTCCCAATCGTACAACTGGATGGGAGACTCCTGCAAATTAACCTCACCCTCTCTCACCAATGTTTAATAGTACATGTATTGCCCTTTTCTATATATATAGATATATCGTTGTTATGAAATGATTGCCATTCTTGTGATTGCATTTATTGTGTTGAATTTGAGCCCTTAAGTAAACAACACGTTCCTCTATATATCATAATGATGATGATGTTTCTTCAGTCATCATAATCTAAAGTGTTTGAGTGTGTTTAAATCTCTCTTTGCTTTCACATTAATTTGGAAGACGTAAAGAGAAAAGATTGTTACATTTATGTACTGTTTATCTAAATGATTTATTCTTTTTATGACAACCCCTAAGCACACCAATAATATTTCACCCTCTCATAGGACCACATGAACACCTTTTTCATCTCTGAGAAGGTTACCTTTTGACCATTTTTGGGTATATAGTGCTTCCTCTGGAGAAACTCTTTTTTACCCACCTTGCATGGTAGTTCCTTCAGTAAATTAAAGAGTGTAATATTACATTTCTTGCTCTTTAATGGGCTCCTTTTTTCTTCTTTCTTTCTATTTTTCTTCCTGGACCATTTTTTCAGTTAATGGAGTACAGCCCTATTAAAAGAGCAACATGTAGTGCAGGTTCTGCATGCATGATCACCTGCCACACTCGCAGAACTCAGTTTGTTTTTAAGCTTCTAAGTAAAAGGGAATTGTATGGAAAGCAGTGAGGGAAACACTCTATCTCCTCATAAATTCAAACCAAAACTGTCCAACTTAAATAAACTAATAAAACAAAAATATAAACCAACCTATGAAAATAGGTGGCAAAAGAAGAACTCACAATATTAATAATGAAATATCACTATATTCTACAGATAGTTGTATTTTAATCCTTTAGAATCATAATCTGTCATTTAAAAAGATTGTA